GCAGGAAGGAGCATTCTGTGCCCTCAGGAAGCAAAGGAGGAGTGGAAGGTGGTGGTGGCACCCCACGGTTTGTCACAGCTGCAGCAGAGCCACCAACAGAGTCCTCACACACTGTTTTGAAAGGATTTCTCCATAAAAGCAGCTTCTACCCCAAAATGCAGCTGGAGCACAAGCAGAACTTTGCAGATTTAAGATTTTAAAAGCATTCCTGTTTTGATTTTGAAAAGCCACATATCTGAACTGACGGAGAAATGGAGTTACAGATGACATCCCTGCACCTTCCTGAGCAGTCCAGTCCAGCACCAGCTGCCTAATGACTTTAAATCCTTCATATTTTATTTTCCCCTCAGGAATCTGATAGCTGTGGATACAGATGAAATGAGATGCAGGCTCAGGCAAGTATGACAAAATCTGATTTCTCTTAGCACTGAGACATTCCACCCTCCTGCACTTCCACGTGGGTGGTGGACACTTGGCTGCTCCATAAATCAGAGGGGGCATTTCTCAGTTTCTCAAGTTCTTTTATTGCAGTTTCTTTCTTTAGGCTACTTGAGAAAGATGTTGAATATGTAGCCCAGGAACACTAAAATATTCTGCTGTCACCCCCTCCTGATCTATGACTTGCCAGCAGTGCAACACGTAGACATTCATCAAAGACGTGCCACGTTGCACTTGGTCCCTTATGTGAAATGAACTTCCAGTCAGCTTCACAAACACCTCAATATACAGTAAAATGTGATTTTCAAACTTTCTGTAAAATCCACAATTATTTCTGTCTCTGGGAACATATTGTTCCAAACTGGCAAGAACTGCTATTTACATCCTTTAACATCAACAGAGTGCTAATCTGCATAAACAGTCATTATTGCTAACAAGAATGGGCTGTTAATTAGTAAGAGGGACCCTCAGCTCCCTGCTAGCCTAAGTAGGATGAACCTCACATTTCTATTAAGAGGGGGAATTACAACTGCACCCCATCAAACAGAGTATCTCTGAACAAACATTTCCACTCCCAAGATATCTGAAACCTAATTCTGGCCTCCAAGTATTTGGGAGGAAGGTAGAGGGGGTTCAGAGCAAGCTGTTATTTGAAATAAATAGGCCTGAACATGCTTAGAGCTCCTCAAAGTAAAATATCCTGGGGCCAAAGACCGAGTGGAAGCAAGAATGAAGAGCAGCCCAGCCTTGTTCCTCCTCAGATTTAAGTCTGAAACAGGATTTGGATGTGGGGAGGGAAGGGGGAGGGCAGAGCAGCCCTTGAGAACTGCTCAGATGAGGAAATATTTTGGATTTGTCACACACAGCACGTATCAAAGCCAAATGACTTAAATGCGTTTGAAATTCCAGCAGAATTAGGAAAGAGGAGGGGTTTTAAATTCTAAATTAAAGCTCATTGCCTGTAGGGGAGCTCTTCAATAATCCTGTGTCATTTTTCACCCAGGGCCTTTTTCCAGGTTTCAGATTTGCAGTGAGGGGACCTCCCCAAGTCCAGGATAACGAGGACAAAAACCCCCAATCCAAACCCTCTCCAGACAATCTCTGTCTGAGAGCAGAAATCAGAGAGGAGGGGAAATAAAACCTCTTCGTGAGAGCTCCTGTTTGCAGCTGATTTTGTTCATGCGTGTGGTGTGAGCAAACACACGTCACAAAACCTGTCTTTGATTTCACCCTCTTTTGGGAATATCTGGGAGAAGAAAAGAAACACTTCTCAGTGCAACAATTCCTAAGATATAAAGTCCATTTGTTGCAGTGACTTAAGCCCAAGGATAAGCTCTGTCACCACAATGTTACTGGAATATTGATTTGATTTTCTCCAGTTCTCTCCTCTAGAACACAAAGAATCCCAAACTGGCACTAGGCTGAGCTTTCTTCTGACCCTTGGTGAAGAAGACAACACATTCCTGACCTCCTGACTTGGGATATAGAGGAGCTGTGCTATAAACTTCGTGCCACAGGCTGTTACTCCTGCCATCCCTGCCTTCCAAAACAAAGAACACTTCTGATCTCACCTATGCCTGGAGAACCTGAGGAGAAAACCATCTCCTGGATGACACAGGTGCCAAGAGAATCGTAGTTCTTGCTTCATTGGGAATTTTGAGAACACCTCCTGAATCCAAATGAGGCCCAAGTTCACAGAGGTCCCTGGACCTGCACTTTTGGCCTCACCAGACTATGAAAACTTTGCTAAATTAAATACAACAAGGGACACTGAAAGTGAGCAGCTGGAGGGGTCCCTGTCGTCCACCATTGCGCTGATTGTCGTGCTGACCATCATCTTCTCCTTGGTAATGACATCCCTAATAACCTACTGCTTCCACAAGTGGAAACTTAGAGGGAAAAGACTGCAGAAAGCACAAGAGGAGTATCAGAAAGACCATGAAAAGAGCATTTGCCAAAGCACATCTGGACTTGTTTCATAGAAAAAAAAAAAGGAAAAAAAGGATCCACCACGAAGAACTCTTGAATTACCTGGAAACGAAAATAATGAAAGAACTGCAACTATGAGATTTCCAAGCAAATACATCCTTGTTTTATCTAATTTCTAAGAGTTGTTAGCAGTTTGGAGATTTCCTACAGCTTTATTATACATATATATATATTTATATATTTAACCTCATTTGTGCAAAGTAAAACATACACAGTCATTTATTTCTAATCTCTTTTGTCATTTTAATCTCTCCACAACCTCTCTGGGCAACCTGTGGCAGTGATTCTTGGCTGTGAGGGTGGGGAGGCCGGGGCACAGGTTGCCCAGAGAAGCTGTGGCTGCCCTGGATCCCTGGAAGTGTCCAAGGCCAGGTTGGAGCAACCTGGGCTAGTGGAAGGTGTCCCTGCCCAAGGCAGGGGGTGGCAGTGGATGATCTTTAAGGTCCTGCCCAACTCTAACCATTATTCTCTGTATTACTAAACCAGTAAATTCAAATCTGCTGCTCAGACTCTTTTAAAAATCCACTGGAAGGTAAAAAGTCAGATTTTGGTCAGTGCAAACCAACTGATCCAAACCAGTGGAGTTATGTTGTCTTGCACTGATGTAACCATGGGCTGACGGGGTTGAAATCCAACTAGAGTCTTGAGTAAATCCGATTCCCAGATGCTCAGAGCAGCAGTCTGGTCCTGAAGAACTGCTTGTGTCTTCAGTGACACTCCAAGCAGGACCAAACCTGAAATTTAAGTCAGGATTTCCTGAGAGGTGCTCGTGGCATTCCAGCCACAAGTGGATCAAGGACATCCAACACTAGTGGAACCCAATTTCCCAAGGGCAGGGCAAGCCCACCACCCTTTTTTTAACTAGGCTTCTAATTCTTTTTAAACCAACCATACACCAGTGTGTTTCTATTTGCAGAGCCTGTAATATCATGTCACAGAGAAATTAGAGATTTATTGTGTAGCATCTCTAAGTCATATTTTCTAACAAAGTGATGGATGTAATATTAATAGATGTAACTGTTTTACAAAGTAGAAACCATGTAAAGTTACCACCAAGCCCCCAGCGCAAGGATATAGCTTGCTTGCAATTACCAGTAATGCTGTATGTATTTTTAAACAAGCTATAATACTGTGATGATGCTGTAAACTTACTTCTGTAGGCAAAAAAAAAATGTTCTATTTAAAAATGTCGAGATGAAAGATGTAAATGTTCTGGAAGTGCTACCAACTAAAAATATGAATTTTCACAGAATATTCTAAAGATTCTGTTCCATGCTACAGATATATTTTACAAAGGTATTTATGGGTCATACACACCAGTCTGTGAGAACAGTATTATTTTATTACAAAATAAATACATGAATAAACAAGCAGTGAATACCCATGCCCAGAAGCTGGAAAATGTTTGTTTCTTTAAAATCCCATGATCAATTCTATAGGTCATTTGAAAGATGGAGAACTTTGTACCTTATTGACATAAGGGATCCACCCCAACACATGTCCCAGCCTCCCCCATCCAGATCCTGTCAGTGGAGCCAAAATTCTGCAGAATCAGTTGTGGAGGAAAAAGGGACATGAAAACAATGCAAATGTAGTATTTTTAAGATTAATCTCTGTTTTGCCCAGATTCCAGCCCATTTTTTAAGCCAGTGGCATTCAGAACACCAGCCCTGGTGCAGGGAGTGATCTGCACACACACAGTGTCTCACTGAGGGGAGTGAATAAATAAAAATAAAATAAAAACTCATTCTCTGAAAATGTGAGTGGTAATAAAATTACACTTTGAAGAATGCAAGTATATGTGAAAATACTTTAAAAATACAGGGCTAGAAGCACTCCAGCTCTTGCTGGAGGATCTATGGGTGATTTGGGATAACTGCCCTGAAAGCTGCAGTCTGGGGTTTTACCAAAGAAGAACTGGGAACGTGAACCCTTCCAGCAGCAAAACCTTGTCCCTGGTGCCACCAGCTTAAAGTTCTTTGTCAAGCTCCCAATATGAGTAAAAGGGTTCAGCTCCTCTTCTTGGAAGCTGATCAAACTGGCTACGGGAAAAAACAGAACTCAAAAACACCTGGGTCTCCCCACAGCCCAATGCCAGGAGTGGAGATGGGTTTATGGAAGGTCAGGGAGTGACCCCAGGGCAGCCTGCATGTTTCAGTTTTTAGTAAAACTTCAGGGAAAATGTTCAAGATTAATGTAAGGGGGTCATGAAGATGGTTGGAGGGTAGGAGAACCTCTCCCGTGAGGAAACGCTGAGAGAGCTGGGATTGTTCAGCCTGGAGAAGGTTCCAGGGAAACATCCCTGTGGCCTTTCAGTACTTGAAGGGGGCCTACAAGATGGGGGCAAAGTTCCCAGCAGGACCTGCTGCCTCAGGACAAGGGATAACGGTTTTAAACTGAAGGAGGGCTGATTTAGATTAGATATAGGAAAGAAGGTTTTTACAATGAGGGTTGTGAGGCCCTGGCACAGGTTGCCCTGAGAAGCTGTGGCTGCCACATCCCTGGAAGTGTCCAAGGCCAAGTTGGAGCAACCTGGGCTAGTGGAAGGTGTCCCTGCCCATGGCAGGGGGTGGGACTGGATGAGCTTTAGAAGGTTCCTTCCAACTCAAACTATTCTATGATCCTAAACTGGACCAATGGGACTACGACATATTCCCCCAGTAGCTGCAAATCATTATTTAAATATCCCAGAATCCCAGACTGGTTTGGGTTGGGAGGGATCTTAAAACTCAGCCAGTTCCAACCTCTGCCATGGGCAGGGACACCTTCCACTAGACCAGTTCAACTTTGAATATATTTACCTTTGTTCCCAGCTCAGATCCAGGCACGTTAATTACACTAGAATTTAATTCCCATCAAACCTGTGCTAGCAGCCTGTTGGGACGGAGATGGAAGTTTATCCTAGAGGAGATACAAAGAGATGGCCCAAGAGATGGACAGAAATGAGACTAAGGAATGACTGTGCCTGGCAGCCAGGTTAATTTTTTTCATAGCAGAAGCAAGGGCAAATGGAAGTGAAAATTCCCTTGCTGCAGTCCACAGGAAAACTGATTTTAATTTGAAGAATACAACTTTATCCAAAGGGCCAGTTATAAAGCATAAGATCACAAAAGTGGTTATCAGCATACACATAATATAAATACGATAAACTTCTATTTGCACAAAGTTCAGAGCAATAAACTCACATCACCAATCATTCAGAAGATTAAATAATGCAACTGTGTGTGTCATGAAGGCCAGAAAGAAAAAGCTCCAAAGCATTTTTTCCAGGCAGATTGATTTGTTGCTGAGCCACAGCTGCTTTCCATATGAATACCCCTTGAGCCATCACAGTCCTTTTATACCCCAGAAAGCACAAACAAGGCAGCAGATGAATCAATATTCCTTGATCAGAGTTTTCGAGTGTTTCTTTGGATCAAAAAGAAAAATCTACTGCTGGTGGGGGAAGCTCCTGTGAGGGGAAAAAAAGGAAAAGACGTGATCTACTCTCTTTCCCACAATCTCCCTGTCAGAGTTTTTGGATCTCTCAAGCCTCAAAGGCTGTAGGATTATAAAATAAATTATTTAGAGGTCTGGATCATTCATTCCATAGTACATCCCTAAGATCTGCTACAAGAAAACAGAAGGCAAACAGTCAGATCTTGGAGTCATCCTTGATAAAAAAATGAAACAAGTGTAGGGAGCAGCAGGAAATGCATCCAAGAGGCAGCAGCAAAACCTACTTTGATTTTTCAGAGGAGTTACCTGAGCTGTGTTTGTAACATTTATGCAAACAAACAAGAGCTGTGCAGTCACTGTGTGTGAGCATGACAACTATTCTACAGACAAACATTGTCAGACTCCTAACCCAAATAACTCACAGTTCAATGTATTTGCAGGAAGGCTCCATGGGAGCTGCAAAGCTCTTTACAAAGCTTCTATCAAAGGAAAAATACCAAAACATATGGATTACATTTTTAAGAAGAGTCCTGGAGCTCCCTTTTCATGGGTTAAGGGATGAAACCTGTGTTCATTGGCAAAACCAACAAAATTACATTTTCAGAAGATTCGGCTCTTTCACCTGCCAGCCCTTATGAGTCTCCACTTGGAACACTGTGTGCCCTTTGCCTCATGTTTGCAGATGGCTGAAGAATTCCAAAGGCTTGGGAGAAACAGGGAGTGCAGAGCAAAGCAAATAAGGAACAGAGATGGAGCATCTAAAAAGGAAAGGTTTAGGAGATTGGAAGGCAGGAACATTTCTGAGGATTTCAGAGGAAAAGGAAGAAACCAGGAGAGTTTATTCAATACACAGGTAACCATGTAATCTGCCAACACCTACCTCCATATCCAGCACTTCTCTTCAGGTTTTCCATTGATTTATGGGAAGGGAAAGCAAGAGGCTAAACAGCCCTCAAGCACTCTAAGAAACACAGAGCACACAGAAGGGAACAACTACACGGGGAGAAAATACAAACCCAAGTTCAACAATGCATTTTCCTTGTCCCAAAATGGGAAAAAATCAAATGCAACGGGAAGGTTTAATCCTCTTTGCTTTGTAACAAAAATTCAGGGAGAGTTCATAGGCAAGGATATCCCTTCAAGATTTCCAGAGGCCTGAATGCAGAGAAAGTCAGGAAGCAGGAGACTGATGAGAGGCAGTAACTTTGTGAGTCACACAAGGCCACCAGGTCCCAGCAGGAGCAATGGGACGAGCTCTTGTTGCCAGCACTGATCACAAAGTTGGGCTGCAGTTGTGCCCACACATCAGCTTAAGGCTTTTGAGGCCACTAGGAAGATGATTTCATTGTCCAACCCACTGAGATTCCCAGCACAAAGCCATTTTATTTGCACATATCCTGAACCCCAGATATATTCTTTCAAAGACAGTGACTTTGTCATCTTGAAAAATTACAACAAATTCTGAAGTATATTCAAAAAAAAAAAAAATAGGCAAAAATATAATTCAACGTCTTATTCCAATTTTCATCCATGTTGTTTTTTCTCTCCTGGACACCTCTCCTATACAGATTCCATGATTAATTTATTATAATTTCTCATCTCGTTGCCATCCGCAGTCTTGCTGATTTAATTCTGTTTTAGACTCATTATTTTACTTCTATAAATACCCCATTTCATTTTACTGCTTTCTATAGTTACTTTGCAACCTGCTTTTTTTCTCCTCCACCTGGGGCCCTCACTTCCAATTTAACATGAGACAGTGGGCAAAGATTGAGCTGAAATGCAGTAATTATACCTCCCTGCCCCAAAAAACGGAATCATTTATTTTTCTTACAGATGGAAGCAGCTGTGAGCTGCTCTGAAATCCCACAGCAATCCTACAAAAAACAATACTTATTACTTGCCAGATTAATAATAGAAACTCTTGGCTTCTGTAATTTGAAAAACATATAGAGATGGATTAAAATGTATTATAACATTTGCATTTAGGAAGAATAAAGAGTTGACTCAGAACCCAGACACAACATGCTGGACATATCTGGTTCCACCTGCAGGAATATTAAACCATCACCCAATTCATCACTGCCAGAGTAGGTTATATCCATATTAGTTGGTATTCCATGTGCAGCTCTCCCACTTCTTTATGTCCTTGAGTCATTTTAACACTTTCAGGCCTTACATTTTCTGACCTTTCAGCCTTTGCCACGAGGCCCTGGGATCCTCTGAAGGTTTGGGAAAGCTTCTGAGGGCTTCTCCTAGAAGTGTGAGCATGTTCTGAAACAGAAAGAAAACGTGGATTTGTATTCCTGGCATTTCTCATGTCCTTTATCCCACACCTGCCACTGGCAGCTCCATCCAGCCCCTCAAAAGCAGCTGAGTGGGCAGCACTTCAGCGGCACAAGTTGCGGGGGTTTTAAAGGGTCCTGTTTTAAAGTGTCCTGTTTAAAAATTCATGGCCAGTGATCTGCTCCCTAAAGCAGGTTTCTTCCCTAAGGAGGGAAAAGGAAAAGCAGATGGCCTTTGAGGGAAGCACGGAGGAAAACAAAGAGGAAAAAAGTGAAGCTTCACTTAACACTGAAGTTCTTAAATCTTAGGTATGGAGTGAGTGAGAGTCAAAAATCAGGAGAGTGGAACTATTAGGGGAAAAAGGGAATGTGTGGTACAGCACAAACTCCCACCTTGCTCATAAACACAGGAAGAGATCCCAGAGCTTCAGGAAGGCACTACTCATTCACTGCTCAGGAACAATTTGACTCCCTTTCAAGAAGGGAGAGAAGAGCTCTTCCTTCAGAGAGATCCAAGGAATTCTCTACCTTTCAGCTCCATTGCCTCCCATCTGCTCCAGAGGCACTTCCTACCCATAAAGCTTCTACCTTGTGACACTGGCACAGACAGAAAACAGTTTTTCCAAGAAGAAATCTCAGAGTATCTGGAAGGTCTCAGCCCCCATAACATCTTTCAGGGTCCTATTCCAAGACTCCTACACCAAAGGATGAGCAAGGAAGACCAGAATGGGCACAGTTACCTACTATCACATCAATTTATTTACCCTTTTGTCTTGCAAGGCCCATCAAAAAGCAAAAACAAGAGAGACCCAGAACCAATCTAGGACATCCTGGGAATGACCTTCAGCTTCCATAAATCAGGCAGGCTCAGATGATTTGATCACTATGTTGGTCCTAAAGTATTTTATTAATTGCCAAATTCTATTTTGACTTGCACTGCATTCAGGTCACTCTGATCTCACTGCCATCAATCAGGGGGAAATCTGCCTTACAGATCCTTTAGTTGCAGTACCTACAGAATGCTAAAAAAACATTATTTAACAAAATTTTTTTACAATATTTGCTTACTCTGGAGTAAATCTGTTCTTCCAGTTTCTCTTGGATTAAAGCACCTTCCATCAGAGCCTTTTTTTGCCTGACAAAGGCAATCCTCGCCAGCTCTGCCTCCTTCTTCTGGCAGTCGGGGCATGATGAAGCCTCGTGGATTTGAGTTTCTGTCACCTGGAAGAGGAGACTTTGGTGCAATGAGCAATGTCTGTCCCAGTGAGATGGCCACTCCTTAAGAATAATCAATAAAAATACAGCTAGAGGGACTGTCTAAAGACAAAAACTGGCTTTTTAGGCAAATTCTTTCATAGTCAGCAATAACTCCACCATCTCGACGTGCTTGTCCCTATGCTGGCAGTGTTCACAAGGCCTCCAACGCCAACCACAGAGGTTGTGATTCTCTTCACAAATTCTAAGAGGCAAATAAACTCTGAAGCAATTAGTTCAAATATGCAGCTCTGAGGCAGAATACAAACAAAATCCTACAGTTCTCTTTGGGAGATAACCAGTTCTACTCAGTAACTCCTGTGTTAGTTCATCCACCATGAAAACTGAAGAGTATTTAACGGCATTACACGAACCCCAGTGTTTGTGCTTTTGTGAAATATCAATAGTTTTATCTGATTTCATTGACACTGATTCCATCTAGCTACATAAACACAATAAGTTGCTCCAAAAGCAGCGGAATAATCCTGGTAAGTCACATCTCAAGCCTCTCTATCCTCTTCTTCCTTGACTTCTTCTCTGCATAAAAATGTGTGTGGAGGTAAAGACAGAAGCAAACAGAGCAGTTACTTTTCTTAGAAAATATATATTTTCTAATATAAACCAAATATATTTAGAAAATATATTTTCTAATATAAGACAAATAAAGAGGAAGTAAAAATTCTACAAAGTTTGGAAGGTGAGTTAACGTTAATACAGTGAAAAAATGCAGATGGTTGAAATCTCAAAATAATTTAAACAGACAGATTTAAACAGAAATACTTTTCACACCAAAACTGAATTTAAAGTATTACTTTAAATACCTCATAAAGTATTACTTTAATTACTTTTACAGAGGGAGGGGAGGAGCTGTGGCAAAAAGCCCATCCTGTGGTGGGAAAACCCGCTGGGCTGGTGAAAAAGAAAAGCACTTGGAATTGGGCAAAGGTGATACAGATGTTTCTTAATCAACGGACTAAGGTCACCAAGATTTTGTTGGGCTTGCTTTAATTCTTCAATATTGCCTAATACCTAAGAAAGCTGGGAGCAGAGGGGTTGCCTTTGGAATACTTCTAATCCTGGAATCACAAAGACTTCACAGCAAATAATATGCAGAATAATTTGATAAATAACTAGTACCAACATAACCAGCAAAAAAGGCTTTTTCTTCTGCTGATCCAGGGCTTACTGGGTGTGCAATAACTGATGATCCCAGCCTGGCTCAGTCACACAAAGCATTACTTTATCAGCAGCCAGTTTTTGATGATGATTTGATTCTTTACTAGCAGGAGTGTCTAAGAAAGGAGACAGATCAATGCTGGGGTATCAACCCAGAAGCTCTTTCAGAGGCCTGAGTGAGGCATCACTAAGCTCTGTTTGATTTGATCCTCATGGTATGGCTTTATTATCCAGTGCTTTAGCCAAAATCTCCCTGGCTTTCACCTGTTTAACAGTCTCTCTGGTGTTTTCCAGGAGGATTCTGTTCATCAGCTGACCAGGAACAATGCAGTTCCCATCTCCTGTCCCAGTTTTCACTGCTGGGACTCCATCCTGCAGCTTCCTTGCCTTGCCCGTGTTTCCCTGCTCAGGGCTCAGCTGCTGGTTCATCCCATTTATCTTCCTGGTGCAAAAAGACCTGAGAGCATCCAGTTCTCCATCAAATAATTCAAGAATTTCTGTCAGGCATAAGTCAATAAAACAAACCCATCAATTCCTGTATCAAGGAAAGAGAAGAATTCCTTCCTATATCTATATATCTATATATCTATATATCTATATATCTATATATCTATATATCTATATATCTATGTATCTATATATAGATAGATATTCCTTCCTATATCTATCTATCTATATCTATCTATCTATATATCTATCTCTCTCTCTCTATTCCTTTATAGATATAAAATAAATACATATAAAAATATTAGATATATAAACATTAGCTATATAATAGATATGAATAATAAAATATTTATTATATAGTATAAAACCAATATAGAATAGCTTATATATTATTTATATTTTTATATATTTATTTAATGTATATTTATATATTATTTTATATTAATATATATTTCTATTTATATACATATAATGTTTAAAAAAAATCTTTTCCTCTTTCATCTTGTCTTATCCTTCCCTGTGGCATGCAAAAATAAATGAAATCGAGATTATACTTCAGATGGGTGGGTTAGGATGGATTTTTTTATCATCATCATGGCTGGGCTTCGCGAACGAAGATTTGGGGAGGGCTCTACCCACGTTTGTTACAAGCATGCTAAAAAGGCTAATAAGGCCAGTACGAGATAGGCACGTCCAGTTGCAAAAGGCACAGCAGAAAGACTCCTTAGGTGGTATAAGGAGATTTTTTTATACATAATATATATTTATATATTATATATATATATTTTAGATATTATATAATATGTTTTATATATTATATTTTTGTATGTTATATAATATATTTTTCTAAATTATATATACATATAAAATAAAAATAAATATAAAATCCGGATAAGAACTGCAGGAACTTGCACAATAAATGTCTCTATGAACAAGCTCCAAATACGGGAACAGAAAAGAACCTGAAAGAATGAGGCTACTAATGATAGAGATTAAATATCAGTAGTTAAATACTATGACATTAAGTAACCTGTCTTTCAATAACTGCCTCATACAGATTTAGCTTCTTCCTACCTGAAACTGCAGGTTGCTAAACCAAAATGAATTAACACTTCAAGAGGGCTCCTCTAAGGAGCAATTCATAACAAAAATTAGAGGCAGTGGCTGTGGAAGTCACTCTGGAAACATCTCAAATAGATTCTACAACCTCAGGCAGGCACTTCTTTTTTTGGAGAAGGGCAATTCCATCAGAGAATACTTTCTCCTAAAGCTTCAAAAATTGTTCTTTATAAGATCTTGTTTAAAAAACATCTTCCCCTCTCTCATCTTCTATTATCCTTCCCAGTGGCATGTAAAAATAAATAAAATTGAGATTATCCTTCAGGTGGGTGGGTTGGGATGGATTTACAACTTTATTCAGTGCTTTGTGGGGGATTTTCCACAGGCTTAAACCACAATCAATACAGTATTTCATGGGCATCGGCATGGAATGATGCTGTGCAGCTGTACATGGCCTGATTACGGAATTTAAACAATCCCTCCACATTGTTTTACTCCTTGTCAGGTTTAAATTTGGTTTTATTTCTCCTAGCCAGGCACTGCAGGTTTCCTGGTGCTTGTCTGACAACCATTGCCATGGGATATTCCAATGCCATGGGACACCTTGGCATAACCACAACACACACTCTTAAAAAAGCAGGAATGGAAAACTTCCCCTAAATGCACCGGCATGAATTTAGTCTTGAGGAGACAAGACAGAGCTGTGGAATTCTGCAAGGGAACTCGGCATCTCTTCAGAAATGCAGCTGATGTTTATAAAGGATAAGGGGATCCATAGTTAAAATGAAGCAAAGCAGGAGTTTTGTTTCATGGACAACATGGAAAATTAAGTACATTTAAGTCATTTAAGTACAACTACCAGTTCAGAATCAGACACCACAGAGCAGTTTATTCCTCCTTAGAAGATGATGTATCTAACTGACTGTAGACAAAGACATGGTGACGATTTATAGACAGATGAATCAGAATAAGCAATACCTTAAAATGCAATTTAATGAAAACAAATTTGCTTTGTAGGATCATAAACATTTGAGTGGAAACCACCATTTCAGTCAGCAGGTGACTTTCCTTACTATTACAATGCGGACAGTGCAAATCATGTGCCAATTCTGGGTTTAATTACACACTGAAAAACAGGGGCATGTTCATTTATGCCGTGCAGAGAATTAATTAAAAAAATTTAAAAGTTACCACTATGGGAGGGGAAAACCCAGAACAAAAGCATTTAAGTACTCAAATCCATAAGTAAAACCCCTGGAGGCTGTGACAATTTAATACCAGCCTAATTAATTCACTTAAGGTTCTCCTGACATACAGAAGTGCATTTTTATTAAGAATTGGTTTCTAATAATGCATGAATTCTGTGCTGCCACACACCCACCCCTTTGCTCATCTGCACCTACAGACATCAGAAAAAACACCAGCAAAGAGAACAGCAAGTTTTAAACCACACTGCACGACTCGTTTCTGAAGTTACTTTTTAATATTGATTCCCATTTAAAAGTAATCTCAGAGAGAATAAAAATTATCAAGGACTATAATTTTTCTGAAACAAGAACAAAAAAAAAACTATGAGAAAAGTCAGCACACAGTTAAATTGGGGAAAGTTTTGTCTTTTCTCTGCACACTGACTCCAGTTTCCAATTTTTTCCCAGGTGGAGAAGATTTACTTGTCCTTCAGCTCTGCACTGGTTTGTTTTATTTCTGGTATCTCTCACATATTCCCTCCTTTCCATCCCAGATCCTTCTCCATTTGGGGTGGCAGATTTAAATGTCCCTGCCCTGTGCCCACAGAGAATCCCTGCAGTGCCAATTACTGCTCCACAAGAAGACTTTCCTACTGCTTGGCTGCCCCAAATCCAGTGCTCCCCACACCTTCTTCACTTTGCAGCAACAGCAGTGAGAAGACAAAGGGAAGATCCCCGCAGAATCCATGGCTTTTGGAAGAAACTCCTTCTTTCCCAATTCCATCAAGGCATTAATGAACGTTTTACAAGCAGGGTTTCCATTTCTGGCTGGAATTTCCACATCCAGACCACATTAATTCTTACTTACTTACAGAATCAGAAGACAGGTCTGGAATCTCAAGGTCTTTTTTATTTTTAACTTGACACAACAATCGCAGTAACAATAATGATTAAATGAGTGATAGTGACTGAAGGAGGGATGATGCAGAAGAGGTGACAGGAGCAGCAGAAGTGCCACCAGGACAGGCATCGAGTCAGAGCCACATCTCACGCAGCAGGAAGGTCATGAAACATGGAATATTTAGGAAGTAAAGCCCCATAGTGGCCCAAGAAGCTGCTCTGATGACAAAAAGCCTTGGTGTGTACCACTAGAGATAAATTAATCCATATGTCTAGATCCCAAACCCTGCTGGGAACTTTGTAACTAAGTGACCTACGTAAATTTTGCTTTCTGTGACATTTTAAATCTGTGAGGGGCGGGAGTTTTTCCTCAGTCTTTCCTCAGTTTCCTTTCCCTTTGAAACTAACTTTAATAGGAAAATTGGCAGGCATTTTGTTATTATTATGCTCTGCTGATACTCTATTTTAAGAAGAAAAAAAGGAAAATGAGATCATTGTGAAAGGCAGCAACTGGTAACTACTCTCGAGAAAGATTTTCCCTCTGCATCTCAAGATCTTCATGATTACCTAAAGTGATTTGTACAACTGAGTGCAGCAGGTCAGGGTAACATGCTGACAGCAAACAGTTTGTGAAAGATCCCTGCAGGCAACATATAACTGACCTACCAGGCTGAACTATCAGGTTATTTATCACGAATATGAATTTAAAGCAAATTAAACTCCTCCAGCACAGTGAATCATTGTAGTATCATGGAACGGTTTGGGTTGGAAGGGACATCAAGGATCATCCAGTCCCACCCCCTGCCATGAACAGGGACACCTTCCACTAGCCCAGGTTGCTCCGACCTGGCCTTGGACACTTCCAGGGATCCAGGGGCAGCCACAGTTTCTCTGGGCAGCCTGTGCCAGGGCCTCCCCACCCTCACAGCCAGGAATTCCTTCCCAATATCCCATCTAACCCTGCCCAGAGGGCAGTGGGAAGCCATTCCCCCTTGTCCTGTCCCTCCATCCATTGTCCCCAGTCCCTCTCCAGCTCTCCTGGAGCCCCTTTAGGCCCAGGTCTCCCTGGAGCCTTCTCTTCTCCCGGTGAACACCCCCAGCTCTCACAGCCTGGCTCCAGAGCAGGGTTTACATTTAGGTGTTGCTGGTTGGAATTTCCACATCCAGCCTACATTAATTCTACTTAACTACAGAATCAGAAGACAAGTCTGGAATCTCAGGGCGTTTTTTACTTTTAGCTTGACACCACTATCAAAGTAACAATAACGATTGAGTGACTGAACTGTATCTGAGCGAACTGTATCTGAGCCACAAACATTTCTTTGCCTCCAAATAACACACATTACCAGCTCAAGCTCTCCCACTTTTGACAGCAATAGTGCAGTGGAAAATATACAAGCAATGCATTTAATGTAGGCATGTTACAAAGGTGAAATCAAACTTGTGAGCACAGCACCACTCACAGGGTTAAAAAGCCCCCCTTGAATTTTCAGATAGATCCAAGTTGAAGAATTGCAGTTTGCTGAGTAAATTTTAAAGATGAGTAGTGATTTTTGAAATAATCTATATGGAATTGGGGATTTAGAGTCATGTTCTGATGCATTTAGCCTAATAACTCTGGTGGAAGAGGGACAGAGAAGAGGATAGAAAGAGAACTATGACAAAAATTTCTCCCTTCTCCTAAGGCCAGCATTCAGCTTTTTCTTCTTTCAGCCCACAGAGAAAACTAGGAAAAAATAAGAATCACATTCCTGGACATTTCCATAGGTACACTAGAACTTTTTTTTCCCTCCCTATTAGGAAGATAAGAAAAAAAGGGTTTATTACAATGAAGACAAATTCAGAAGTACCCTGCATGCTCAGTGTACACATAATTCACTTTGCTGAGTGTACTGAGGGGACTCACTGTGCAGCAAATCTAGTTCTAGTGAGCTCATCTTCTATTATATTTTTGTTTAAAAATCTCCAAGTTGTTAAAATAGTATAAGGCTTGGGAGCTCCTGCACACTGAATGATTAAGTCAAAGAGAAGGAGGTAGTTCTAGATGTCAGTGTGCAAAAGCTGCTGTGCTTTACTTTATTTGTATGTTAATATTCTGCAATAAATGTAGTCCATGGCTAAAGTATCGTTGATACTGATGAATTTGGGGGTAACATGGATAAGCATGAAGCATATTTTGTGCTCTTCATATTGATGGTGGTTGGGAGCACTGGTGTAACAATGACAAGGGACAGCACAGGCAGAAGACAACACACGCCTTCATAAATCAGCACTAGAGAATGGAACAGAACTGCTCAAGGCCTCTCCTTACCCATCAACATCCATACACCAAAGGCAGAACATTCTCTTGTGCAGAACTACAAAAATCTGGAAGTGATCCTATGAGTAAAATCTTCCAAGTGCAACTTTCAAGGGAAAGTAGAGATGGAAAACATCCTCAACCTCAAACTGTGGTTTCTCACTCAGTGACTCTGGAACTCCTCGGGTCCCTTTTAATTTCTCCGTGAATCAGCCACAGGATTCTGAGGTATTTTAGGAATATCATCTCTGAGGAGCTGGCCAGGAGAAGCCTCTCTTCTACAGATGAGCTGCTCTACTAAAAGCCTGCTTGGTAGCCTTGAGAAAGCAGGAACACAAGGATAAATGCAGAAGATGAGTCAGGAACTCACAGCTTTGACTCACCACTGCTCAACAATTAAGAACAGCCTAGAAATGACCTTAGCTCCTGTTTTCTAGGATGGTTTGAGGATGTTTGTGCCACAAAGTGCCTAGGCAGGAGGATCTCCTGGTTAATCAGTCTTACAAGTGACCTACAAGTTCACTTCCCATGAACACACAGACTGAGGAAGACTCCCTGTCTGCTTCCACTAATTTTCTGCTCAATTCCAGCTTTCTTGCTCTTTTTTTTTTTTAATTAAAAATAGCACCTCTGACACACTTTTGAGAGAGACTTTAGCAGGACTTGCACCCCACCATCTGTTCTCACAGTTGCTTGTGTAACCAGTACATGGAAACACATCCTCTTCCTTCCTTCCTTCCCCTCTCCTCCTCCTCCACACTCTCCATCATTGTGGTGGTTAAAGCTGCTCCATTGTTCTTGCCAAAATTGGTGCCCTGCTGCCTCCCTCAGCTTGGGAAAGGAATTAAAACAGGGCAAACAGGTAATTCAATAATCCATAAAGCTGGTTAACAGGGTGTCCTAGTTAGAGCAGCTGGGACTAGTTCATCACTGTGTGGGTGTAACCCAAACTGTGTATTCTACACCCTCCATGTCATTTCCCAGGAACTGTTAACAATAGACCATTTGCAGCAGCTGCCCAGAGCACACCTGACCCCTCAGGCTATAAGCTGAGTGTCAGGAAGCCTGTGAGATAGGAGGATGTTCCTGTCCTCACACCAATGACTCAGGTGTGATAACTCCCCTCTGGGGAGTCTTTAGCACCTCCACACCCAGCCTGAGGGGTCATGTCTGCTAATGGGCTACCAAGGATTCCAAAAATATCTCACCACTCATGGTCACCCATTGTGGAACTCCCCGCCCTGGGGGAGGTACTGGGCATTCCCACTGGAACCTGAGTATATACTCTTGGGGTCTTGGGACTTCTGGTACCACTCATCGGATCCAGAGGAGGATCAGAACTTCGAGCAGACTGCAACCACCATTCTCAACCAGACTGCGATCACCATTCTCACCAACAGGTTCTCCTTTCCTTTTCCTTTGGATGCAGGGGCCAACAAACACCACTCTGTTCGTGCCCCAGGGTCCTGGGTTATACATCTGGGTTTTGTGGGTTAAAACCAATTGTTTGTCCGTATAATTGTATTTATTGTATTATTTTTTTTAAATTGTAACTCTGACTTATAATCTCTCTTGAGCTGGGTTCATTTCTCCTGCCAGTTTACTTTTAAACCAGCACACAGGGGAAAAACATCTCACACAATAAATTCCAAAGTCACGTTTATTTTGGAGGGAAAAACTCCACACTCCTAATACCTGTACTGGTACTGGAGCTGAAAGAGAAAGCTGGAGAGAAAAAAAAACTTAACAATCCAGTAAAAATTGAGGATTACAGTTAAACTTAAAATGTGGATACATTTTTTTAATGTGTTTATCCAGATTCTGTGATAATGCATCACTAGGATAATGTCACTATATCAGGAGCATCAAAGCCATGCGTGTATGGGAGGCAAAACTGCTTGGCAAGAAAGCCTAAAACAGAAACTTTGTATTTAATTACCTGGCTAATTATCCAGCTTAACAGCCTGCATATAAAATTTAAGTCTAGTTAAAAGTTTACATCCCCTCTCAAAAGAAATGATTACAACCTCTACTGAAGTAACTGAACTCACCACCATGAGTTTTCCTGACAGAGTTGTCCTGTTTAACCTCAGCTTCTTTATTTTTCAGATCTCTCCATCTTCCCATGGCATCAATCCATTTTCCTATGGCAACTCTTTCCAGAGCTGCAGAATCCACTCCTTCAGATTGCTCCTCTGCAATGAAAAAAGGCAACTTTGAACACACCTTGTGAGGTAAGCAGGACTGCAGAAAAGCAAACAATGCTCCACTTGAATGTGCCAGTTTGCCCTGGTGAGGGAAAAGAAACCCCAAGCCACAGGAATACACAGATGAGATCAGAGATTTCAGCTAAACAAGCTTCTGTGCCATAAAATACCTTCCACTACTCATTCCTAATCACCCCACTGAACCAGGATTCACTGAGAAAATGGGAGCCTGTTCACACGTTCAATTTGATCTGTAATGTTACACTAATCTCATCTCCCTCCTCCCTCCTTCAGCCCCATCAGTCATTTCCAGCTCTTCGTCTTGTGGTCACACACTCTTAGGAGCTCAGCTGAACTGTCTCAGGGTATTGATCCAAGTGGAAAATAAGGTGGCACAAGGGAAATAAAAATTCTGTATCAGCTCCCTGTTCTCCAGCTTGTTCCAGTTGGACTCGATGATCCTTGTGGGTCTCTTCCAACCCAGAATATTCTGTGATTCTGGGAACTCCAGTTCTGCAGGAACTAAGGAAACCACAAAGATGTGAAAGCAAAGAGCTGGGAAAGGACAAAACACTTAGAAGATCTGAGAAGTCCCTACCAGTGACAGCAAGGTGCACATGGTATGGCCCCAATTCAAAACAGGGAGCATCTCCTTTCTCTGTTCTGTTTTCAGGGTTCTGACAGCAAATTCCACAGGCTTAGACAAGGAAATAATGTGTCCCTATGGGAGCAGCAACATGACAGGCTTTCTGTGGGTTTTATTATTTATATATGCTGCTCTCAGGAAAATATATACCACAGAAAGCAATCAATTCCCCCCAAAAATTCTGTGAATTATTCCCCAGTTTCTCATTTAACTGAGAGCATTCAGAAGACTCTGTTATTTTATGAAATATTAATCTTGTAAAGATAAAAAGTGGTAACACTTACTAAAGAAACCCCTATGCACACAGTAAGGATTGCTCCTAGCATGTGTTCCTTGATGTCAGAAATAAGGATTTCAATCGTTAGACATGGAATAATTTAAAGAATCTTGTTATATTTCCAGGAAAAAAAACTAGGGATTAAAACATATCATTTGTAAAACTACAAAAATTTTAAGCAAAAAACACAAATCAGACACTGTTCAATTTTAGGGATGTATCATGAATTGATACCAAGACAATGATCACCTCTTTATTCAGATTTTTGAAGCACTGATCTCCAATGCTGAATTCTGTGCTACAATAAACAGGAATATGTATTTGACAGCAAAGTTTGGCCTCCATGGGTGGCATTTCAGGCTTAAACAGTATTTTTAAAGGATTCCTAATGATAATGGTGCCAGTTCTTACTGTAGAGTGAAAAAAACCTCAAGTAAAATGTTGGATGGATGAGGGATAGGAAGAACATCTCTACTGGACTTGTCTATAGTAGGAAAAGAAACAGCTTCCCAATATGAAACCACAGTAACTATATTTAACATTATCTATTATATAATATATAATTACAATATATAAAATATATATAATTATAATATATAATTAACATTATATATTGGTATATGTCAGCTGACCAAGCTGAACTGAATAGAATCAGATCACAAAACTAACAGCCAACAGACATCAAAATAAATCTTGTTTACACTACCTTTAAAAATACATTAAAAGTGTTGTAGCTAATCTTTGAAGCTATAAAGTTTTATATATGCTGCAAGCTCCCAAACTAAATTAAAAGATTATTCATCTCTTTAAGTATCCACAATATTTACCACTCCAAACTTGGAGAAAAGGAGAACACAAGAGAATGACAGAGAACCCTGCAGAGAGAAAAGAAAAAACCTAACAGAGCTGATTTATCCCTCATTTAATGCAGCTTCTTCATTGCCCAGAGAAGCTGAGGCTGCCCCATCCCTGGAAGTGCTCAGGGCCAGGTTGGATAGGGAATCCAGCCTTCCTCAGTATTTCAAATCCTGGAACTTTCCCTTGGAAAACTTATTTTATGGCCCAGCTACTTTTCAGATGTGGTAACTCAGTCAAGACAACTTGCGGAATATTTTTTTAAGATGCCAACAGAATTTCAGCACCACAAGATTACAAAGGAAGGGCTTCCATGGCCAAATCGTTCCACATGGAGCTGTTGGCGAATCCCGGGAGCACAGATCTGGTCAGCACACTGAGGATCTGTTCCTCTGCACAGCAGGAACACTGTGTGCAATCTTCGCATGTTTATTTTTGCTGATTCAAGTCCCCAGAGCACTGATTGGAAGCTGAGAAAGGAGGTCTCTGGGAGGGAAAGCTCTGCATACCTGCATGACTTTGGCCTGCCAACCATGATGTGCTTTCCAACACATCTGAGCCCTCCAAATCCTCTGTGGGACAGCAGGAGCCAGATGGTTTGATCTCCTCCTCCTCACTGAAGGACTCAAAGGTATCTTCTGAATAGTCCAAAGCAGAGCTGTTGTAACTCTGGCTCAACTCCATCCACCCCTTTTTGTGGCTCCCAGAGCTGTCTGAAGGGACAGTCCCCTGCCCCTTTTTTTCTTGCAGTGTTACCTGCAAGAAAAAAACAACAGTAAACAAGTTGAATTTCACAGGGAGAGGGACAGGATTACTTACAGCACAGGGGACGTATGGAGGGCTGTCACAGCTCAGCTCACACCTCGTTTAGCTCCCACAACAGGGGGATAAAATCACAACTCAGCCACTGGATCAAGGCAACACCTTCAAAGCACAAGTTCAGATCCACAGGGTAAGTGCACAGTAACAATCAGCACCGAGCATTAGCCATGAATCCTGAGCAGCATTCCTTTCAAACCTGCAGTGAATTACAGAAACACTTGGACAAAATCAGTCCTCTGGAAAAAAAAAATTAAATGGTAAATTTTTGCTTTCAGATTTTGTGGCCTCTCACCACTCCAAAATACAAAACCTCCTTTTTCTGCCTAGATTTCTTCTAGAAAATGAAAAAGAAAACACAACCAGCATGAGCCAGCTGGTGCTCTCAAATGAAGAACCAAGCTCCTAAAGAAAAAAGAGATAAAGTTCTCCAGATACAAGCTCCAGTCACAAAACAGGCCTCAGACAGAAACCTATCACGCAACAGATTTATTTGAAAGCTTTGTTCTTACTTATTTTATCCTTTTTTAAAATCAGAATAATACCCCTTCTTCCTGTGAACTTAAGGACCAAAATAGCTTTGTCCCAAATAATTTTGCTCCAATTTTTTCCCTACTCCCATTAAGTAAGGAGATTAAATATGTGGGCAACACCCCTCTGGAAAGATGCTGGCAGCAGTCACAGTTCCTCCACCCAGAGAGATGGGAACCCAGTGTGATAATAGTAGGTAGAAAAAGGCACTTTCTGTCCTGTACTCGGGGTTTAGGCAGCTTTGGTTTAAAGGTGCTGACTTTGACCATTTCCCTACTGAACACGTTCTGCTGCCTGTTTCGCCCGCCCCATTACTGCCAAAATCTTTCTGCACACTCTGTAAAGACTTTGTGCCCCTAAAACAAATTCAGCCCTTCCTTCCCAAGGCTAGATGTCCAAAACTCAGCTGTAGTCCCAAATCTATAATTCCAGAGGTTTCCTTTTTGTTCGTGGTGCCAAAAATGAAAAGAATTGTTCTGATTTGAACTGGAGATATTAATGAACACTAAGTAGTTCTTTTGTTCCTCACACTACCACTGAGTCAGTGGTTATTAAGGTCTGGTGTGCTGAAGAAAACAATAGGAATTGCAAACACAGTGAATTAGTTCTCCAGCCCCCAGCTGACCCAGGTGGCAGCTGCACAAGCAGCATGGGGAGGGTTAAGGAACAAGAAAATTAATTTTGGCAAGTCATAAGACTGGCTGAGTGAGAAATGTTTCATAATATGTGATGCAACTGATATTCGCTCATTTCCACAGTGAAAGCAGCTGTTTGTCAAAGTAGCAGCAGATAACTGTAATAAACTGTAAGTATACTTATAAATAGCACATAAAACTGGTTTCAGAAAATTTTAAACAGTTTTACAATTGTAAAGTTCGATCTGCTGTAATCACTGTGTAACCTGGTCTATGGGAAGGTGCCCCTGCCCATGGCAGGGGCGTTGGAAGGGACCTTAAAGCTCATCCAGTCCCATCCCTGCCATGGGCAGAGACACCTCCCACTATCCCAGGTTGCTCCAAGCCCTGTCCAGCCTGGCCTTGGACACTTCCAGGGATGGGGCAGCCACAGCTTCTCTGGGCAACCTGGGCCAGTCTCCCCACCGTCACAGCCACCAATTCCTTCCCAATATCCCATCTAACCCCGCCCAGAGGGCAGTGGGAAGCCATTCCCCCTCGTCCTGTCCCTCCATCCATTGTCCCAAGTCCCTCTCCAGCTCTCCTAGAGCCCATTTAGGCCCTGGAAGAGGCTCTCAGGTCTCCCTGGAGAGCCCTTTTCTCCCGGTGAACACTCCCAGCTCTCCCAGCCTGGCTCCAGAGCAAAGCGGCTCCAGCCGTCGGAGCAGTTCCGTGGCCTCCTCTGGATTTGCTCCAGCAACTCCGTGTCCGATAACTCCTCATCTGTGTTCCCCCGCTCCCCTTCATTCCTCTCGGCCCCTCACGGGCTCTGGGAGCTGCTCTACCCTCCTCACCCCCTCCAGGACGGCTCCTTACCCAGCCCGGCTCCCCCAGCCGGGAAGCGGCGGCCCCGGAAAGCGGCGAGGCGGGCACGGGGCGGGCAATCCGGACCGCCCCGCCCCCGAGGCGGCCCGTCCTGCCTTAAAACATTCCCGGTTAGATGGAGGTGGGAAGTTGCACCTCGTCCAGCTCTGGACCCTGCACTCTAAAAGAGACATTTAGGCGCTGGAGCGTATCCGGAGAAGGGGAATAAGGCTTGTGGAGGGTCTAAAACACTCGGCTGGTGAGGAGCGGCTGAGGGAGCTGGGGGGGTTTAGTCTCGAAAAGAGGAGACTCGTCATAACAACGGTACCAGGCACCTCCAAAATTTCTGACCCTCCTTACAAACCAGGATAAAGAGCACTTTACTGACAGCGTTGGTGCCCAACAGCCAGCCCAGGACAGCCCCACGTCCCATGGCTATCAGCTCTGTCCTGGGCTGGGCATGGGGGAGAGCAAAACAGGCTCTAAATGGGAACACCACGAGGTTTCCCAGTCCCTCCACCAGGCCTTCCACACCAAGCCATGCCTGTTACACATATTAAACATCAGAAATCATTGCAAAAACACGGGTTAAAGGGCTGGCCATGGAGTGTTAAAATGACTTCTGCTAAAAGCATCCTATGCTCCAGGTCAGCCGCAGCTCTATTTTGCCATTAGAACAGAAAAGCCAAGAGAAACAGTAGGTAATTTTAAATTTACTTTTTTACTGTTATTTTTAAATTACTCTTTTACCTTTAGGACAGTGTATCATATCCCAGAAGATGAACACAGATGGCTCTCAAGACACCTGTAATTCTTTCTCTTCAAAGCAACAGAATCACTCTGTACAACTTCCCCCCCAAGCCCCCCCCCCCAAACAGGAGGTTGTGGTGAGGTGGGGTCTGGTCTGTTTGCTGCGCCTGCAGTGAGAGGAAAGAGGGAATGGCCTTTAATTGAGACAGGGGAAATCCAGATTAGATATTAGAAACCAAATTTTCATTGTTCAAGTAGTCGGGCATTGGAATAGGGAGAGATTCTGCCACCCAGGGAGGTCATGGATTCACCATCCCTGGAGGCATTCAAGAGGCATCTGGATCTGGGGCTGGGTGATGTGGTTTAGGTGTTTAGGGGTTACAGTGGTGGTGCTTGGTTGATGGTTGGACTAGATGACCTTAAAGGTCTCTTCCAACCTTGGTAACCCTGGGATATAGCTGTTGTTAGGCTGGAGGTGCTGGCTGAGGCTGGGTGTGCCCTTGGCTTGGGGTGCTGGCTGTACTGTGGCTGCACTCTCAGATGCGACACCTCATGGAAATAAAGGGCAAAAAGTTTGTATTTCAGGGCATGAAGTCTACCTGTACTTTCAGGTACAATTTCCATCATGATAAAACCAGCTCTTCTGTACCTTGGGATCTTGCTTTAATATTGCTATTTCAGGTTAGCACTACCACGTTTTTTTCTTTCGGTGAGGTTCTTTTTGGCAAGAGAAGCTGATTCTCCAGTTCTGGGAGATGCACGGTGTGTTGTCTGGCACTTGAAATCACTGAGGTGTTTTAGCCTCATAAGCACCTCATGCTGTATTTGGACTGACTGGCCAAGATCTCAGCTTGGCAGAAATCTTTAGGACAGATCTAGTCTTCTCTCACATTTGATTAAGTGCAGCCCATGATTTCAGCAGTAATCTCGTTCTCTTGAAAGAGACAACTCTGCGCTGCATCTATATATCTATATATATATGATATGGTTTGAAGCTGGCTCCCTGCCAAGTCCCCAAACCTCACCACAAGACTCCCCCCCCACAAACCAAGGGCGAAGAGGAAAAAAAAAACCAAGAGAACCGAAACAAGAGAGAGACAGCTAAAGCAATATATATATATATATTTACACTTACATTACAGTTATATACAGTTGAAATATATGTACAATTTCACAAGGGAAAAGGGAAAGGGGAGGAGAAAGGAAAAAAAGGAAAAAAAACAAAATCAAATATACACGATCAATAGCCCAAGATCTAGCAACTAAAAGAATTAGCAAAAGAATATCTTACTACTCTCCTTGGGACAACAGAAAGTTGCGCTGGAACAACCGCTGGCAACCTCCGTCTCCCAAGGTCGACAAAGCCTTACCAGGCCTCGCTCCCCAACACGACAGACTCAACAGCAGGGAACCTGCACCTCCAAGCCACCGGAAGGAAAGAAAATGAAGGTCTTTCCTCCTTTCTTCTTATAGCCCGGCTTACGTAAAAATTGTAGGGAATACTGGGTGAATCTGGGCACTTCCTTGGTTACAAACTGGTCACCAAGGAAGGCCTAGACCAAACTACCACAATATAATATAAAGAAAGATTGGCCAACATAATGAAATAGATCCACAGTGCTGCAAGAGAGTAAATAAATGCATTGATACAATGGAGTGGAAAGCAAAGTGGAATAAACAGCTCTGCCTACACAGTTGTTTTAAGATCCAGTCGTTGGCTGCTTTCTGCAGGGTGGGCTGCTTGAGGCTGGTGCTTTTCTTCTGGTTTGCTATGAGAAATTAAAATAATTCACTTGTGATAAACATTTCTTTTACATTTTCCATCCATAGTAGTGATCAGAGAGGGATGGGAGTAGAAGGGGCAATTATCTGTTCTACAGGAAGTGGGAGTCAGCTGCAAGGAAGGAAGGAAGCTGCAAGGAAGGATAAGTTTAGCTCAGCCAAACCTGCATTGTGTATTAAACCTATCTAACCCAAGGATTCACCTCGCACTGATATAGTTCCTTTTCCTTCTCAGGAAAGTAACATTGCAGACTATCTCTCAAGCACCCAAGTTGAGTGAGATCAGCATCTGGGAGGATCTAAGATACAGCCTGGCAGATTTCATGCTCTGGGTTATAAATGGGAAAATAGGGTTGGGAGAGACATTACATTTTCTTTAAAGTTCTAATCAACATA